AATTTCAGATTGTGTATTATGCAATATATTACATAATGACTCAACTGTAGTAAAATTCTTTTGATTTTGTATGCAAATTTTTCTACCAATTTTTAATTCCATATATTATAATCCCAATTATGTATTTAGTACATATTTCTTCCATGTGTTACTCCAGTAAAAAATTGGGATATTTAAATGAAGATGTTGTTTTTGTGACCAGATGTTGTATGAAAATGCACATAAGGCAGTGGGAGGTACAAAGTAATTCTTTATAAGTTAACAACAATAAAAGGGGTATTCGTGTAAGTGTTTAAGTCAGTGAAAGAACTGGGGTGATACAAAATGGTGAACTAAAATATCTTGACTGTGGGTTTTGGCTATATCAGGTGGCTGTCAATTAAGTTCGTGATTATTAAATAGCACTTGGTGTAGTAAATGAAAATATAGTGATATATATGAAAGAAGGGTCCTAGGATTCTGACTATAATTTGTGACCACGAGCTAAATCTCCATTGCAATGTTCATGGAGGCTATTCTGGTACTTTCCATTGGCTTGTATTCCTGTTCAGAGCCATATGCTCTCACAGGCAAACATCACATTAGAGCTACTTTTATTATGCAACTGATGCTCAATAACTTCTCCTTNTGTTAAGAGAATGTGTATTACATCATGAAGCTTTCTGGAGAAAGCAGGATAGATTTCCCAAGTTGGTTTGAAAATGGCTGGAGAGAGTGGAGAAAGGTGAATATCTTGGTGTTTTAAGGTTGTGACCCAGTGGAGCTGCAATGAAGGTACTTGGGCGTGGTTGAACTTCCAGCTGATGTCCAAGAAGGGAGCACTTGGTCTTTATTATCAGCTTGGCCAAAATCGAGTCAAAAACTAGAGTCACACTTTCTACTACAATCCTGAATTATTCTTGATACTCCTGAGTTATTGGTTGGGAAGGATCACAATTTTCTTCATGCTAATAGCTTACTACATTTCTTGCTGCACACATAGGTTCCATTACAAAATATAATTATTAAAAATGTTTGCAAAACAGAGAGATTGCCTTACATGTTTTTACACTAGTTTAATGATAAGTAATATGTCAAAATGTTTATTAGATAATACCTCTGATTAAACAAGTTTACTGGACATATTTTTCTAAAGGCTATAAAATGTCAATTTCAGATTGTGTATTATGCAATATATTACATAATGACTCAACTGTAGTAAAATTCTTT